CCTTGAAAAGAAATTGCTGACTTTAAATGGATTCACAGAAAAGTATTAAATTGAATTTGGCCTGAGGATGCCTCCATACTTGAGAACAAATCACAATCTAATTTAATATACAAACAACCCAAGAGCCCAATTTAGGCTGATATGCTTATAACAGATAGCTGACTCTCAATCAATCACAGCAGCTAGCTTCAGTCAGTTTTATACATCGCAACTGATTGAAGTACAGCCAAGCACGAGATGTAACAAATCAGACTCCCTATGCCCTCCTCTGCCTTCTGCCCAGAAGTGCTTCCTCACTGCGTAGAGCTGTTCTGACTGTTCTAGTTATGTTCTATTGTTGTGGTAAAACACTAATAAAAAACAAGTTGGGGAGGGAAGGGTTTATTTCATTTTACACCTCCAGGCACAGTCCATCTTTGAGAGGGGCACGATCTGAAGCACGGACCATGGCAGATTGCTGCTCATGGGTTTGCTCCTCTGGCCCGTGCTCAGCATGCTTTCTATGCACCTGAGGACTGCCTGTCCAAGGTGGCACCACCCACAGTTCAAGTGGACAATGGAAGACAACCATGACACTAATTCTCAACATTTTCCTTCCTCAGGCAACCTCTCTTAAATTTAACATTTCTGAAAAAGTTTTTTTTTTTTTTTTTTTTTTTGCCTTTTAACACAAGGAATCAGTAGACTTGTGAATTAAACTGGCAGGGACAACATAAGATAGTGATTCACATAGAACTAAAAGTGAGACGGGAAGTGAGGAAGGTGATCATGAGCACTGACTTGGAATGAAGATTGTGGGCTTTGCTTCTGGAAATCAAGCCCCATTCTTTGCTGGCAAGCATAGCTTTATGATATGAGCTCTGGCCTTACCATGAGGACCGCTTATAATCTCACCTGTCCCTGTGTGTGCCCACCCAGACACAGGTAAGAGGGGTGCATGGGCAATTATGACTTGGATGCTGATATATCTGTGTGAAATGAAGGAATTAAACCTCCAAATCTGCAGTTCTGAAGTTCTGACCTTTGCCTGGGTCTCGGACCAAAGTGCAGCCTGGCTGGGCTTTATCTTGTATTTCTCAGGTGTCTGTGCCTGGAGAGAAGGAAATTACTCAATAGGTGTCTTCTCTGGGTTGTGCTGCGGACAGCCAGATGTTGTTGAGACTAAGAAGAAGAAAGAAATAATAGGTAACAAATAAGAGAAGGTGTTGTGGCCCAGGCAGAACTTAGGGTGGTCCTGAGAGGCATGCTCACCTCTAGACTAGGGAATTGAAGAGAAAGAACATGGAAACAATGCAATTAGGAATTTTATTTGTTTATTATTTATTTATTTTTGTGGTGCTGGGATCAAACCCAGGGCCTTACGCATTCTAGGAAAGGGCTCTACATACCCAGGTTCATACTGTTGTGAATTTTTGAAATTACTGTGCATTTGTGAATGTGTGCGTGTGTGTGCATATGTGTGATATGAATGCATGAGTGCCCATGCTATGGTGTATGTGCAGAGGTCAGAGGACAATTTGTGGAGTCGTTTCTCTCCTTCTACCTTTACATGGGCTCAGGCATCGAACTCAGGTCTCCATGCTTACATGGCAAAGGACCTTTCCCTGTTCAGCCATCTCACTGCCAGACCTGTATTATCTTTATTTATTTATTTATTTAATTAATTAATTATTATTTTTAGGAATGAAAGGTTTATTTTAGCTCACAGTTTGAGGGTGCCATCCACCATAGTGGGCAGGGCACAGCAGGAGGAGCATGAGGCCTGTGGTCTCTGCATCTGCAGTCAGGAATCATGTAGCTGAATGCTGGTGCTCAGCTCACTTTCTTTAATCTCATGTTTGAGCCATTAAGTCTTGGTCCATGTGAGCTGATCCCCATGGCCCTTCTGTGGCCTTGGCCCATAGCTTCTTCATGTGTCCTTCTGCCACTTCACTCGTGTGTGTGTGTGTGTGTGTGTGTGTGTGTGTGTGTTCGGTGTATGTGGGCACCTTTGGGACTTTGTGTCAGTTCTTTGTCATGTCCAAGTAAGTTGGCAGTCACGTGGAAAAGGCCTCTGTGGAGCTTACCCTTTAAATGGAAATAAAGCCAAAGGGTATAGATGAGGAGGCTTTGCTCTCTGTTTCACAGGAACTTCCAGACTCAGAGATGGAGAGGACATTTGTTTATAAGAGGGAAAGGACTATCTAGGAGGACTGTGGGGCACAGGGTTAGAGGAGGACAGAGTGGATAGTCAGAGGAAGGAATGAAGTCTTAGCCTACAGGAGGGAAAAGGTGATGGTTTTTCTGGGCCTGCTAATCACATCTTTCCTGCATACGTTTGCACCCTCCCCCCATGGGTTGTCCTGGTCCAAACTACTACTGAGCATGCTTGGAAAAGGTAAGCTCTCTTCTGCGGTGTGGATTTAAGGTGCAATTCTACCTTTTATTACTGCTTTAGTTGGTTGTCTCTCTGTCACTCCAGGAAATTTGTTTAGAAAATGCTTCCTGTCGATGAAGTTATTTTTAACTATGATAATGGTATGGAGAAATGGTATTAAGAAAATCTGTGCCTGGGTGCATATGACTCTTAGAGCAGAGGGTACCAGGTACTGGGGACAGCAGCCTGCAGGGTGTGCTGTTCCTGTTGGTTGTGTTCAGAGCACAGATGCCAGCTTTTAGCTTCCAGATGTGAGGCCTAGTGCCCTCACCTGAACCTGAGCCAGACAGCCTGACTGTTGAGAGCATCAATCTCTAGGGCTGGCAGTTTCCAAATGACCAACAATTGAGCTTATGTTTCAAAGCTCAGAGGCAGCCCTAAGTGTTGATAATGGGCAGATGCAAACCACTGCCCTACAAAGCCTTCTTCTAGTTGTCTGTTTTCATGCATCTGATGGCTTAAGCCTATTGGCTGAAGCTTGTGGAGAAAAGTATTGCCCCCCAACCCTGGACTTTTCCTAGGGCACTAGAGGACTGCTTTAAAGGAGAAGCCTCAGATCCTGTCCTGAAACTTACCTTTGGGAGTCAAGAGCAGAGAGGAGATGGGCAGTGAAAACAAGCCCTTCCTTATATCCTTGCATTTGAAGGCCTCAGAAACTGCAGCTGGCTGCACAGGCAGAAGTGGCTGACTCTTCTTTCTGCCCTCCCAAAAGGGAGGAATGGAAGCATAGTGAGGAAACACTGGACCAACAAGATTGAACACTAGCAGGGCAAACACCAAATCCAGTAGCTTCATGTCTGACTTCTGGGACTTTACTACCAAAGGGCTTAGATGACTTAGCCTCTCCAGCTTTGCTCTGTAAAACATACATCTTTCTCTTGGGCTGGTACCACTCCTGGCGTGAAACTTTTCTGGGCAGATGCCTCACAGCTCTGACATCATGAACATCTTCTTGGGGTCTTCACTGCCAACCAGGTTTCACCTTTACAACTGCACACAATGGCCTATCAGGGCCTTCTTTGTGCAGAGGAACCTCTGCTACATGCTGCCTGGCCTCACTCTCTGAAACCCAGGAGGAAGAACCAATGACTCCTTCACTTTTGCATCTTTCATGCCTCTAAAGTCAGCCAAGTTTGACTGAAATTTTGGGATGGACCCCAGCCTGCTGCATCCTCTTTAGAAGATTTTATATTCAGTGGTTTTCTAGTAGAAAGCTCAGCATTTTCTTTTCACAAGTTGAGGGTTAGCTGGCTGTGGTCTTGCCCTGGAGGCACTCTCTCCATTATTTAAGTGCAAATCTCTAGGCCTCTCCTTAATCACTTTAATCTCCTTATCAAAGGGGTCCTCTCTAGCACATGCCTTGGCTCCAACATGAATCTTCCTAGTGCTCTTTTTCGATTCAAACTGTACATTCTGTATTTCTTTCTGCCCCATTTGCTCTTTCACTGTAGATCTGCATGATATTCACCATTAATAGCCATGCTACCGTTTCTACATTAGACTGTCTTGAAATTTCTTCCACCAAAGAAATTAGTCCATTACTTTTCAACTTAGCCTCTGGCAAGCTTTTTGGTCCTGGGCAGACTCCATCCAGACTCTGCCAAAATGTCCCAAGTGCTGCTTAAGTCCTTTTTTCCCTCTGAAATTACATTGTTCTCAGCACTACTTTCTTCCAGGCACCTACTAGAATGGCCTGTTAAACTCCACTTACAGCAGTCAACCACTTTTCTAGCCCAAACTTCCTGAGTCTTCCACATTCCTTCAAAACCCCACATGCTCAGGTTCCTCACAGTCAACAGCCCACTCTCTGGTACCAATAACTTTATTAGTCACTTTCCTGTTGCTGTGATAGAAACACTGACCCAAGCAATTTATGGAAGGAAGAGTTTATTTGAGCTTATAGTTCCAGGGGAAATTACAGTCCATCATGGCAGGGGGGCATGGTGGCTGGAGGTGGCTGGAGCAGGAACAGCAGAAGCTAAGCTCTCACATCATCACGCAGACACAGGAAGCAAGAGAGCAACTGGAGATCTGGCAAGGCTTAAGAACTTTCTAAGCCCACCCCCAGTGACGTGCTTCCTCCAGGATAGCCACACCTTCTAAAACCCCCCAAAACAGCCACCATCTGGGGACAGAATGTCCAAATACTTGGAGCCTATGGGGGACATTTTCATTCAAACCATCACAGTTCTATTGCTTGTTTTTCTCCTAATCTGCCTTTTGAAATGCAGAGCATTTCCTCCTACTTGCAGGAGGCCCTCAGAGACTTGTTGACTGTTGACTCATTGCTGTTCTTTATACAGTGGAGTATAGGGAGGGTCACTGGACTGTCACCTGAGATTCTGGCAGCTGCACCTGGCTCCTCCCTGCCTTTTGTAATTCTTTCCTGAGTACAGGTGGCCTAGTGGTCTTGGGAAGTGCTAGAGTATGTGGTATGAGGTGTGTGCAGCTGGTGCCCTAGTGGGCAGGAACTCCTTGAGACTTGTGACCCTGAACTCCTGAATGTGGTCAAGAGTAATTGGGGCAGCTGTACATTTGAGAATGAATTAGCAAGCTCTGAATTTGTCTTTTTCTGTTTGTGCAGGATGGAGATGTCTTCCCAGAGGTTAATTTCTAACAGAACCTCCTTGCAGTCTGCATCAAATTCTGATTACACCTGGGAATATGAGTACTATGAGATTGGGCCTGTTTCCTTTGAAGGACTGAAGGCTCATAAATGTAAGTCTTGTGTAAGTCCCCTATGGAATCATATTATATATTTGTATTAACCTGTCCCATCCCCTGTGGTGGCTTCTCCTGAACACCCTTTCTTCTTACAGAACTATCTTCTATCTCTAAATACAAAACACTCCTTCCACACAGGGATAGTATGATATAGGCCTTGGTGATTCTGATTCATGAAGGACTTAAATGAGAACCACTTAGTGGTGGAATGTGAATTACTATCAATCAATAGCAGCACTTCATTTTTAAAAAGGTATTAAGTACTCCAGCTCCCCCAGAGCATGAATGTTTGAAGAACAAAAGTATGTGTGTAGGAATAGGACTGGAGCTATTATGTGGATAATCTTGTTTTGTAAGACATAGTCAGTAGCATCATTTAAAATACTATTTTTATTTTATGTGTATGAGTGTATTGCTCACATGTATGTGAGTGTACCAATGTCAAACAATGCCTGTAGAGGTCAGAAGAGGGTGTCCAATTCCCCTGGAACTGGAGTTACAGAAGGTTGTTAGTCACCATGTGGGTGCTGGGAATTGAACCTGGGTCCTCTGCAGGAGCACCCAGTGCTCTAAGCCACTGAGCCATCTCTCTAGTGAAGTAACATCATTTTAAAAAACTCACTAGACTCCTGACCTGAGAGGATCAGTTTGTATATATGTTCATAGTGACAGGCAAGAACAGCCTGCCATATCACCAACTCCATGGGATGAGCAGGCATGAATTGCATGTTATTGTATTGAAGTGATTAGCTATCCACCCAAAAGTAAAGAAATATAAATTCTGTGAAATATTACTGTTGAAGTATCCTCAAACCCAATGCTTTCTGGTTCCCATGAAGCATCCTTATTTTGTAAAGCAGAGTTGCTATAAGAGGCAAGAACTGCCACCCACTCCCAGGTCCTGTCTGGGTTACCCAATTAATGTTCCTGTGATATCTGATTGTTTCAAATTGAGTACTTATAGTACTTCAAACATTTTAGGTTCTAAACTGGTCGAAACTAAGTGGCACATTGAGAAATGTGAGATATCAGAATCACAGGCACAACTGTAACCCCGAACTGCTTTCCCCCTTCACTTACTTCCCAGTTGGCCTCTGTGGTCCCTGCTCCTACTGGCTGCTCCCATTTGCTGTGAGAAGGACTCTCCATTTTTCTTCCTTAAAGCGAAGTCACTAGCTAAATTATAGATACTTTACCTCTAAAGTAATAGTGCAATGTTTTCTCTCTTTCCTTTGTTGATATCTGCTCAGTATTTATGGGGATGACATGGAGGTGCATGAACCCATTAGGATAGGCTGTTGTTAATCATCTCATGAAGGCTCTTGTGGTCTGAGTATGAAATCACCCTCCTAAATTCACTTAAATCCTTTAATCTGTTTGTTCTCTGGGATAACCTTTAGATGAGGACACTTGGTTATGAATTTTGGTGGGAGTCAAAAAGACTGGGCAGAGTGCTGTCTTGTGCCCTGTGATGGGAGCCTTCCATCAGAGCTATGTCAGCATGCTGCTGTCTCTTTTCTTCAGTTTAAGGCTCTGCAGACAGTGCCACTGCTATAATTTCCATTGGCATGTTTCCAGAGACTACTGAGGCAGATCTTTTTTTAGGGGTATTTTATTACAGAAATAATTATCTTTTGAAAAAAATCCTTCAAAACCTAGGCAGAGCTGCGATGCATTGCATACTTAATTTACTGTCTATACCATTAACGAGAATGCTTTTAACACTCAAATCATGAAGATACAAAAATGCCCAGGTGAATACTTACTGTTCTAGTTTAAGAAACCTGATTAAAGTAGAGGCTGTTCACACCAAGAACCTGAGTATATGAGGCAGAGGGGAGAATGGAATATGACACCCCCCCACCCTCAGAAAGTTCCAATATTCATAAGACCCCCTTTTCACAGGAATATGAAAAGACTAAGCCAAGCAATAGAATGTGTGCATTGGTGTAACCTCTTTCATGTGGTGACCCTGCTTTACTGAGCAACATATAAAACTCGTTTGACAAATACAGTAGAAACAGAACACTCTAAGAGTAAGTGCTAACTGAGGGCAGAATGACCATAACATTTACTTTGACTCCCTTTATCTGTACCACACTGAGCAACAGCAGACACATTCTTAGATGACATTCTCTGCTGATAGAAACCATCCTGTTTTCACATCAGAAATGGATGGATGTCTGGCATACATTTGACAGTAGAGAGTGTAAACCCATTCATCTAAGATGTCATCATATTTACAGAACATCATTTTACACACTGGGGATACAAGAATGAGCTGAAAAGACAAAAATACACCCTATAACAGAGCTGGTGTTTGTGCATGGCTTCTTGGCAGATGTGAGCAAATATCTATTCACCTCAAATAAGGTACAGATGATAGACCAAAAAAATGACCGCACCCTTCTAGTTGGTGAACCAGTGAGCTGACTGGGGTTATTATAGGACCGTGGGTGATCTGAAGGCAGCCACATAGCTGAGGCATAGTGCAGCGTGGGTGACGATCTGTGAGAGCCATATCCTGGAGCTCCCTGCTCAACTTGCAGGCAGCTCCACCGGAGTGTCTCCTCTTGCTCAGCAATTGTTTACTGCTTTTATACTTGTGTGTGTGGGTGTGTGTGTGTGTGTGTGTGTGTGTGTGTGTGTGTGCGTGTGTGGGTGCATGTGCGCACTACAGAAACTGGAACTTTTTGAGGTTCCCAAGTCCTGCACATTCTCAGCTCCAGGTCTTCTGAGCCCCTCCCTAAGAATGACTGTTGCAATTTGGAGGAAAGTAGATTAGGTAAGCAAGCTGATGGTAGATAGGTAAGCAAGCAAACTACATAAAAAGTACCAAAAAGTGGAGAAAGGTAATGCAGAATATTAAAGCATACACACACACACACACACACACACACACACACACACACACACACACACAAACATACTGTGGAAAGCCTTGCTGAAATGGAGAGATTTGGGGGAAAGACCTGAAGGAATTGTGAGACTGAACTGTATGTGAGGGAAGAACATGCCAGGAAATGCTCCATGGCTACAGCAAACTGGAATATGCAAAGGAAAAGGAGGTTTTCTCAGTGCCAGGGGGAGTGAATTCAAAGCAGAACAGCAGGGGCCCAGTTCAGAGATGTCAGGAGGAGCAGGACACGTGGGCCATCAGGGTCAGGTTAAGAACATTGCTTTTTCTCTGAGAAGTCCGCTGAGGGTCTGAATAGCTTCTGCCTTAGGTTTCTGTAGGACACTGCAGCTGGGAATGAAGTGGGTGAGATCAGAACAGAGACCATTGAGGGCCCCCTTGCCATAGATATTGGTGTATCAAGTATAGTAGATCAGTCAGAAGTGAATGCATTCTGGATGTTTATAGAAGGTGGATTTCACCAGATTTGTCAGTGGCTTGACAATGATGTTAAGAGACAGCACGGAGGCAAGGATGCTTTGAAGCTTTGTGACTGGAATAATTGGCAGGATGTATTTGTCATTAACTGGGATGAGAAAGAGTAAGGGAGAGATGGATATCAGCAAGGAGCATCCGTTTGGGACTCGTAAAATTAAGACTCTAGAGATCCAAGAGGACATGGGGAGGCATGGGATGAAGTTATACATTTGAGAATCATCAGTACATTAATGATTTTCCAGGCCAAGAGGCTGGTGAGTGGGTGTTGTTGGGAAACTGAAGATGCCCAAAGGTTGAGCTCGAGGGCACATTTAACTTTAGAAGGTGGGTATGTGAGAAAGCAGAAGAGCTTGGGAGGACTGTGAGGAGGGGAAGGGGAACACTGGGCAATGAGGGCTTCCTGAGAGCCAGCTGAAAGTCTCAGGGTAGAGCAGACTGTGTAAAATACTGCCCTGGGTGAGAGCAGGCTGTGAAAAAGGCTGTGGTCCAGCTGGTTGAGGAATGAGGTGTGACCGTTGGATGGTCAAATTTGGTGCACAAATTTCATTATGATGTACAAATTTCAATGATTTTAAAAGGAGTTTTAGTAGAGTTAGGGGGTGAAGGCTGATGTGTTCAGTTCAAGAGAAGGATGAACAGAGATGAACTAGAAATACACACAGATCTCTCAAGAGTTTACCATAGAGGAAAAGACAGAAATAAGTCTTCATGAAGGCTATGGCTGGACGAGACCGTGTGTTCTAATAAAAGAAAAGCCTGGAGCAACTGAATAGATACCTAACATTTCAGTTGGAACACCCTACTAAAGACTGAAGAGTACCTCTTTAGTCAGAGCTGTCAGCAGTAGGCAGAGTCCATGCTGTTTAATATTCTAGCTTGCAGATAATGCCAGGTACGCATGGATTGAATTAGCAGGAAGTCAGGTCATCAGGACAGGAAGCAGAGCTCACATCTGCAAAACCTTGGACTCAGATGTGTTGTGGACAAGAATGAGAACATTGCTGTTGGAAGATGAGTTGAGAAAATGTGGGTACATCACTTTAGGCACCTTGTACAGAATTCATTCAGGGAGCTAATCCTGACACCCCAGGAAGCAGAAGTGTGTTAGGGGTAGTGCTGGGTGCTTCCTGAACCCTCTCTTCCAAGTGATGGATTAATACAACCATGAATGCAAATGCCCTGATTCATTCTTAGGGAAGAGAGGCAATGAGCTAGAAGATTGGCCTGGTCCTACCCTGGAGTGGGAGATAACACATGAGAGCAAGATCATGCCAGCTTTCAGCTCTCCTTTCATTCCACTCATTCCATTCCACTGAAGTGTCATGTCAATGGGGAGGCAGTTTATTAGGATGTTCCATTTGGAATCCCCCTGGGTATTTTCTGTTCCCTTGTTATATTTGGTCTCTGGTAGCTTGGTGTCTAGATAGGACAGAGTGCAGCTGTTTGGCTTGGTAAGGTCTCTTTGGAAGGCTTCTCTTGACTTTTTAACTAGCTGGTTGCCTAGGATACTCGCTCCAGAGAATTTTACATCCCTGGGATGTGATGGGCTCTCCGGTGCCCTCTTCAAGGAGCTCACAGTGACAGTGCCCTGAGATCATGTAGCACAGGTTGAGGGTAAGGAGAAATTAAGTTTTGAAGAGGAGCTACTTAAAGCCTGCTGTTGAGGGACACACAGATACCACATTATCCAGCAAGCATTTGAAAGTTCTGTATCAGGCTGATATCCAAATTCTGATCATATCCTTCCTTATCCCAACTCTGCACCAATACCTAAGACTTTTCCCATATGCCACATTATTTCATGACAGCACATGCCCAGATAATTGAATTTTTATTGTTGAAAGTTAGTAGCCCTTGAATACATGTGTTTTGATACTTACGCCTTTAAAAATGTTTTTATTATTATAGTGTGTGTTTGTATATATGATGCATGTGATTGCACTCGCGCCATGGCATGCACTTGGAGGCCAGAGGTAGCATTGCACTCATGCCATGGCATGCACTTGGAGGCCAGAGGTAGCATTGATTCTCTCCTTCCACCTTTAAGTGGGTTCCAGGTTGTTAGGCTTTCAAGGCAAGCACTGGGTCTTACTTGCTGAGCCATCTCACAGCTGTCCACCTCCCTTGTCTTTCTTATGCCTCTTTTCCATTATATTAAAAGCCTAAAAGGTCTAAAGAAATTGCTGTTTCTTTAGCACTTAAATTAAGATCCTAGGAGGCAGGTGTATGCCTTTGATCCCAGCACTTGGGAGGCCAAGACAGGTGGATCACCGTGAAGTCAAGGTCTGGTTTACATATTGAGTTCCAGGCCACAGGCCATCCAAGGCTACATAGTGAGTCTGA